AACAACACACAAGACAGACATAATCCATCCTCTGGTTTCGTACCCTAACGGTAACTCGTAGGATTGTATGACTAATGTTTAATCCGAACCCGGACTCTAGTCTGAAGTCGGGACCGGAAATGTCCCCACAAGGACAGAGGGTTAGTAAACATGTCCCCACAAGTATAGATATACCAGGACCACACACACACTGTCTGGTCGGTTTCTGATGGAACCACGGACCCAGAACACACCCCTCAGAACTGGATAAACAACAGCAGGAGCTGCTCCCTCTCTCTCTCTCCCTCTCTCGTGTGTGTTCGTGTTTACATGTATACATGTTTTTCTTCATGTACCGGCCCGGTCTGTCAGTGTCGGTCTGTATTTTCACGTCGGTCATACTGGTAGTACTGGGAGACGGAAATATACGAAGAGAATTAAAAATAACAATTAACTCGCATTTCGCCGTGTGCCACTAGAGGGAGTCCGAGTTCCAGCAGTTTACAAACATTTTTAGTTTTAAAAAAAGCATCAGTACCTGTAAAATATTATAAATATATAAAATACTGTGCTATATATATTTTTAATGAAAGGAATTAAACGCAAATTAAATTTCAACAACAAACATATATAAATATATATATACATATATACGATGTTATTTTCAATACATATCAATAATTGCTTGTCAGTACATAGACAAAATTAAATGTCGTTAATAACAACTATCGTTACCAACATACAAATATCGGAACTTACGTACGTATACTTCTGTACCCACCTTTCTTCCGTTAAAAGATCGGAGCTCGGCCGAGAATCACTGATGGACTGGACGTAGCCCCTGTGCCTAATATTTGATTCCATTTTTTTTTTTTTGGTAAATTGTCAAAAGCAGCAGAGGTTTTAGATTTAAAAAAAGCAGCAGATAGAGAGAGAGGCAGAGCGAGCGAACAAACCACTCAGGACCTGACTGGCTCTACTGCTGAAATGGGGAAAAAGAAATCCTATTTAAACGACTAAGGACAAAGTCAAACACAGGAAGTTTGGAGGCTAGGAAAACTGGTCGAGTGGGTGAGAGCAACTAGTTTAAATAGTTTGTCCGACGATGAAGGTCCATCTGTTGATGGCGCCGTTCCTTTAATGTGCCTTCCGTGCGCCTTCGCTCCTTTGATCAACTCCTGCCTTTGCCTCCCTGCCTTCCCGGGAACTTGTTATTTGATCCAGACCTGACCCGCCGCCAACAGCGGTAACCCACCGGTCTCCTGTTGTGGTCTACGATCCCCCCGCCTGTTGTTTCTAGATGTTGCCTCATTTGCTAGCCGAAGTGCTCTGTTAGCTTCCAATAATGATCCCGACCCGGTGGTGGCGCTGTTGGGTTCTTCCTGTACCCGTGACAGTTTCTGAACAAACGGCTCGGAGGGAAGAGCCCCAGGTTTGACTGTGGTCGTATGTCAACATTTCAACTCGCGAACCAGCCGTCTGTGACGGTGGTTGTAGTTTGCGAGGGTTGTTGATGAGATTAAAGGGATATTTCCATGTTTTAACTCGCACTGAGAAATTAGAATTCCTGGGATTACTTCACGAGACGGCAGAACAGTTCTACTTCTGTTCCGGATCTCGTTGGTTTGTTCTGCCCTCAGGCCTGACGTGCCTCACCTGTGCAGAATTATTTATTCTGGACTATAGTCTGAGGTGAGAACTTTTAAACTGGTTATTGTGGTCCTAGCTCTGGTTGGGCCTCCTCCTCCCCTACTCTCCCCCATTAATGAGCTCATCTTCTCTGTGAATTCAGGAGAGTTTTTTTTCCTGTGTATTTGTGGTGACCCTGGTGGTACTGTGAAGTACTTGTGAGTGTCAGCCTTCAGAACTGATCTTGGTAAAAAAAAAAAAAGGTCGAATCCACCACTGCCCCAGGGCAATGTTTAGCTATGCTAATAGGTCAGTTGAGAGGTATCGTAATAACGACCTTCTTTAAACACAGCGGAGGAGTCGGCCATTGTTTTATTGTCACTGGACAAACGAAGTAGAAAGATAAGTACGCTAAATTGTTGATCTTTGTTACATATACGGGTTTTGTACTAGAAAGAATCTGAAGATACGATACTTCGAAGAAAGAACAGAAAAAGAAAATGAACCAACAACAGGAATATCGGAGTGGGAATTGGTGAGAAAAAAAAAACAACAACTGATGACGGAGGATATCGATTGATTGATCCGGTATCATGAATTAAAATTTTGCGATATTGTACACTGTGCAGTGATCCCTGGTTTATCGCGGTAGATCGGTTCCAAGGCCCTGCTGCGAAACTGAATTTCCGCGAAATAGTGATCATATTTATGCACAGTAAAATGATGATGACTTTTACTGCGCAGCCAATGATTGATTTTACATCCGTATCGTCGTCCCATTCCTGCGACATCTCTCGCAGATCCAAATCCGGGATGGAGTAGATTTTATATAGAGTTTTAAAAAAAAAACGCGAAGTCGTGAATCCGCGAAAGATGAACCGCGAAATAGCGAGGGACTACTCTATATAGGTTAGCATTGGTCGACCTTTACTAACTGGACCGTCGCTGACTTACAGTACATGTAATACATGTCGGACTACTGCAGTATTGGGTGGTGACTACTTCCGATTTTGAAGTAGAAGACATGGTCTGTCACTGTCGGTCTTTCGGTGACGTCATTCTCATTCCCTTCTTTTCCAGGACCTGGGTCTGGAAGGCTCGTCGCTCAATGACATCCTGTACAAAAACGCGGCCTTTCTCAACCTGGTGGACCCCATCTCACACGAGCTGCTGCTCAGTCTGGCCCGGGAGATGCAGTGTCCGAAGAAGGTGGGGTTGTTTTTCTTCGTAACGTAACACGAGTCAGAGTTGTCTCCAGGACAAGTAATATCAAATAGAAGTGAAGAAGTGAGCGCCAACAGCTGGAGGATGACTGAACTGATGTGACCTGTTTCAACATGTTTTGTTTTTTTAACACCGTACCAAGAAACGGATGTCGTTTTATTTTTCAGTTGTAGCTCAGGGAGTTAAACACGGGGTGGCGCCCCTCCAGGTCAGTGGAGGTACTGCAGTGCTGTTACAAAATGGTTGACAAGTATGACAATTTAAAAAATTTTTAAAAAATTTTAAATTCATTTATTCTCATTCTTCAGAAAATATTTACGAATGCTTTACACCTGAAACTGAAGTAGTACTTCACCCTGAAACTGTAGTAGTACTTCATCCACAACGACACACACACAAGCTAACGTAGTACGGACTGTGTGGTCGTTCTGATGTCAGACTATGCGCCACCCAGTGGACTATTGGGGGCGTCGGACGGAACATTTGTTCTTTTTGACGTCGTTCTCTGAGCCCGTCTTCTCTGTCTTGACAGGACGCGGACACCGTCAAGTCCTCCGATAAGATCTGCAGACAGCTGATCTACCACCTGACGCCACACTCCAAGTGGCTGAGGCAGAACATGTCACGACAGAAATCCCAGGCCTGGTGAGTCCTCGGAACCAGGTCGGTCTAGAACTGTTCACATAACAGAAGTAGAACTGTTCACGGAACAGACGCAGAACTGTTCACGGAACCGAGAACTGTTCACGGAAC